CCTAGCCCGATACGCCAAACATCCAGTTTCTTCCCCTTTTGCCCTAAGTACGCCCGCAGTGCGTTTGCGTTCATTGTTTGTGACCAACGCATGCGATGTGCTCCACCAGCGGCGGGTGCCGCTTGCTGAGTCCGAGAAGACCCCGCCGACACCAAGCCTTCTGGTGCGGATGATGGATGCGGGGGCTGCTAGGTGGTCTTGCAGCACCTCGCGCTCGGTTGGCGGCCCGCATGCTGTCGCGTCCAGCGCCAGCTCCAGACGCGCCCTGGTGACCTCCAGGCAGCGGCCCTTTGCGCACTATCTTTTTTCCATCATCCATGGTTTGAGCGTCCATTAACGGGAGACGCCCAGGCCCGGCACCGTATCGTGTACGGCCATAAGCACAAACGGGCCTTTGCACCCTAAATTCTGCCGAGGCACGGCGCTCACACCTCTCGCAAGGCGCTGACTGACTGCGTTGACGTAGCAGTTTTGTCACTTAACTGTTACGTCAGCGGGCGATGGGGTCATCACTTCCCTTCGCCTTTTATTATTGGGGGGGGGTACCAATATAATTTTCGCATCTGGTTGGGTTCTATAAATATATAATTATAAATGGTAATGAAAAGAATGAAATGAGAAGAAGTGACAAAATTGCTACGTCAACGCGTGCATATGTGGATGCTGCCGTCAATATTCCATTTGTGGTTAATTCGGACGATGATGGAATAGTCCCCCACGAACTAGAGAAAATGAGGAGCATATTGGAAGAGTCGATGCTGGAAACGCGCAGCATGCCTCTCGAAAATCGACCGCGACTACCCCGCATACACCTTAGCAAGCGAAATCGGGCTGTCGTGCGGGCTCTTAACCCAATGCTAGTGACCTTTGCGAGACGGACTCAATTCTTTTTGGCGCCGCGCTGGCAGTCTGCCGTATCATAGGCGCCAAGGTTTCCACGGCTGGACGCGCTACTGGCCAAAATAGCGCTATACCAGCATGGAGAAGAAGAATTGAGGAACGTATCGCAAAGGTTAGAGCTCTCATCGGCAGACTGATATGCTTCAGATCAGGCAAGATGGCTCCAGCTCAGCAAAAAGTTGATGCATCCTAGCCCGATACGCCAAACATCCAGTTTCTTCCCCTTTTGCCCTATAATACATCCGCAGTGCGTTTGCGTTCATTGTTTGTGACCAACGCATGCGACGTGCTCCACCAGCGGCGGGTGCCGTTTGCTGAGTCCGAGAAGACCCAGCCGACACCAAGCCTTCTGGTGGGGATGATGGATGCGGAGGGCTGCTAGGTGGCCGTGCAGCTCCTCGCGCTCGGCTGGCAGCCCGCATGCTGCCGCGTCCAGCGCCAGCTCCAGATGCGCCCCGGCGACCCCCAGGCAGCGGCCCTATGCGCGTTCCTCTTTGTGGCATCATCCATTTTATGGGTGCCAAATAACGGGAGACGCCCAAGCCCGGCACCGTTTCGTAGTTCGGTCATATGCACAAACGGACCTTTGCACCCACAATTTTGCCTAGGCACGGCGCTCACGCCTCCTGGCAGGGTGCTGACTGACTGCGCCGAAGTAGCAGTTTTTTCACATAACTGTTACGTCAGTGGGCGATGGGGTCATCACTTCCCTTCGCCTTTTATTATTAGGGGGGGGTATCAATATAGTTTTCGCATCTGTTTGGGTTCTATAAATATATAATTATAAATGGAAATGAAAAGATAAATATACATAAATATCAATAAAATTAAATAAATATAAAAATACATAAATAAATAAAAGCCCAATCAGATGGAGGCTCCTGGCAGGGGAGACCAAACGGCCGAGGGTTAGGGGGAAAGGGAAAGAAACCGGCGGACGATGCGGGCGGTATCGAGGAGCACTGCCTTCTGCATTTGAGCCTGGAGCGGTCCGCCACGCAGTCCCAGCCGCCTCAGATGACCCGAGAGGCTGACTGGGATTAGCCCGTCTGCAGAGACGACTACAGGAATAATTTCGGTCGGCAGACTACCCCACATGTCGGTCACCTTGTGAGCCAGGTCCAGATATTTTGTTCGTTTATCTGTTTCGGCTTTCACGAGGTTCTCGTCATACGGAATGGTAATGTCGACCAAAAATATCCTTGACTGTGCCCGGTCCATCAGCACAATATCAGTCTTATTCGCAAAAATAATCCTATCTGTGATGATGGCCAAGTCCCAGTAGAACCTGGCGCGGTCATTTTCGAGCACGGCTTCCGGCAAGTACTTGTAATACGGCCATTTCCGGTCCACCATCGCCTCTTCCAATGTACTCCTCATTTGCTCTAGTTCTAGTTCCTGGGCGATTGTTCCATCATCGTTTGAATCAACAACTGGGGTATTCACGGCGGCATCCACGTTTGCCGTTTGCTCCGCAAGTTGTGGCGCTGCATCCTCAGCCGTAGCATTTTCACCTGATGAAGGTACAGCCTCACTTCGTAGCCGTTTGAGTTCGGCGACATCAAATATATTTGAGCGCAAGTATTCCAAACTCGGTCTGCCAGGTTTTGCTGTGTGACGGTTATAGATGGCCCAGCTCAGCAAAAAGACGATGCATCCTAACCCGATATGCAAAACCTCCAACTTCTCCCCCCTTTTGCCCTAAAATACGCCCGCAGTGCGTACTCCACCAGTGGCGGATGCCGATTGCTGGGCCCGCGAAGACCCTGCCGACACCAAGCCAGCTGGTGGGGATGATGGATGCGAGGGGCTGATGGGTGGTCGTGCAGCATCTCTCGCTCGGCTGGTGGTTCGCATGCTGTCGCGTCCAGCGCCAGCTCCAGACGCGCCCTGGCGACCTCCAGGCAGCGGTCCTTTGCGCGTTCTCTCGTATTCCATCATCCATATAAGTGGGCGCCATTTAACGGGAGACGCTCAGACCCGGCGCCGTTTCATTGTGGGGCCCTGTGCACAAGCGGGCTTTTGCACCTTCAATTTTAGCCGAGGCACGGCACTTACACCTCTTGGCAAGGTGCTGACTGACTGCGCTGACGTAGCAGTTTTGTCACATAACCGTTACGTCAGCGTACGATGGGGTCGTCACTTCCCTGCGCCAAATTATTATTATTATTATTATTTATACACGCCGACACATCAGCTCCCCACCAAAGTAGTGAGTGACCGCGCCGTGCGATAACAAACCTACGTCTAATTATCATTATTGTTATGAAATTTTAACGGTAACTCCTCTTTATGGGGTGATATCCTTAAATCGGCCTTAACGGCAAGATATTAAGGAACTTATTTGGTTACAAGGATAAATGTCTCCTCACAATGGCAGTTGTCCTCAAGATTACAGCCTTTTGAATTTTATCGAGCACAGATCTTGCTAAGCCCAATTTTTCAAGGTTGCCACTAAGCTGTTTTGGTACAATACCTGTAGTTGAGAGGATAAGCGAAATTATAATTATTATTGTTTTATTGATATTTATTTTTTATCTCTCGTTTTGAGGGGTAAAGAAAGATATATTCAACGGGCTTTACACCAAGCTAAAATGATATATCTTATGTGTATATAAGCTATAAATAAATAAAAATGTGTTCTTACTTCTTACCTATCATAGGACAAAAATTTACGCACAATCCTACAGGTATTTAAAATAACAGCTTTCTGTAATTCTACATATGTTGAAGAGTGTAACTGAAGTAATTTTAGACTATTATATAAGGATTTTAGTACTACTCCAGTAGCCGAGATGACAATAGGAACCACTTATATGATATGATATGATATGCTTCAGATCAGGCAATAACAGGCCAAGAATTGAGCGCACCGTCAGGATGGCGTTTGTTGGGACAAATGTCAGTTTGTCCCAGCCGGATATAACGCAAAAACTGACGGAGCACATAGATGATCTGAAGCAGAGAATCGCTGCTTGGGGAAAGCGGATTCGGCGATATACCGAGAGGTCGACACGGTTCAACCAGAATCGTCTCTTCCAGAGTGATCAGAAGAGGCTCTATGAATCATTGGAGCGACCAGAAGTATTTGGAGCGGGCCCAGGACCGGATAAGGCTGACACTGTCGCATTTTGGCGTGGCCTGTGATCAGAGCCCGTAAACCACAGCGAGGGCCCTTGGATGGCAGTTGTGGCGAGCCAGAGTGCAAGTTTTACGCCTATGGACCCCGTCACCATAACGCCTGAAGACGTGGCTGAGGCGGTCCGTAGAGCCCCGAACTGGAAAAGTCTGGGGCTCGACGGGCTGCAGCATTACTGGCTGAAGGGGTTCGTAGTGTGTCACGCTGTGCTCGCCCGACAGTTTCAAGAGGCTCTCGATCAGAAGTCGCTCCCGAGCCTCTTCACTACTGGGATCACTCACTTGGTTCCTAAAGATCAGGATACCACAGACCCGAGCAAATACCGCCCCATCACGTGTCTACCCATCACATATAAGACACACATCCATTTTGAGCGCGAGAATCACTCGTCACCTGGCGCTCAAAATGGATGTCGGGGCGGTGGTCGTGGAACCAAGGAACCACTCTTCATTGACGCGGTCATTGGCAAAGTGGTGAAACGCAACTGTCGGAACTTCTCCGCCGCCTGGATAGACTACAGAAAGGCATTCGACTCGGTGCCCCATACATGGCTAAAAAGAGTCCTCCAGCTGTACAAGATTGACTGTACAGTTGGAGACTTTCTCGAGCAGTGTATGGGGCAGTGGAGTACGATCCTTTGCTGTCTGGGCGAGCGGTTGATGGCTGCGGAGAACCACATAAGGATAAGAAGGGGTATCTTCCAGGGCGATTGTCTGAGTCCAATCTGGTTTTGCCTCTCTCTGAACCCTCTCAGTACTTTACTAGAGGGCTCCGGAAGGGGATTTCAGCTTCGGAAAGGAGGTACAAAAGTGAGCCACCTTTTCTATATGGATGACCTCAAGTTATTCGCCTCCAGTCGCTACCATCTTATGGAATTGCTCAACATCACTTGTGAATTTATCAATTCTATTGGAATGGAGCTGGGGCCGGATAAGTGTGCGGTCCTCCATGTTGAAAGGGG